AGGTCCATCTTCGAGGACCGCTGAAGCTAACTGTGAGAAATCGTGGGAGATAGCCCTGACAATAGAAGCCCAAGTCCTTATCATTTTCTTAACAAATGTAGAGTGCAAGCCATAATTAACAACGGCTTGCTTAATTTCCTTTAGGACATTCATACCTACTGGCGTCCATCTAGATTCTTTGGCTCTCTTTGAGCCTTTAGAAGTTGATGCTTTGTCAGAATAAATTACAGGGTATGTTGCTAAAACCCTGGGTAAGCCAGTTCTAACAGGTGGTGGTGGCATTGTATCCTGCCCTTGTGTCTTCTCACCAGGCTCATCAGTTCCAATAATTTTTTCAATCATTTCAAATCTTTGTATCATCGCCTCTCTTAAATCCTGAATCTCCTGACCTGTGTGTGTTTCTAGTGATTTCACTAAGGTATCAATTTTTTGGTCCCCATTCTGCACTTGTGATTCCAAGGTCTTAATGGTTCCTTTTAAAGATAGTATCTCTTCCTTGAACTGCCCCTGGATATCATGTAAATTGCCATCCTGGAGGTATATTCTGTCTGTTACCTTATCAAAACTCTGTGATAACTTTTCAAAGTCAAATTCAACAGCTTGAATCCTTTCAGGTAATTTCTTAGTGCCCTTAGATAAGGAGTCAATTTTGCCTATCATAGTATTAATCCTATCAATTAATGCCACATATTTCCACAATGATATAACATTAAGAAGGAAACTAAAACCTAATAACCAGTAAATCGAGGGACCTCCATAGGCATATAGGCCACTTGTGATTTTTACCAAAGTGGCAGCAAAAGCTGCAGCTAGAGTCCCATTAAAAAAGAAACCTGCCATTTTACCTTTCAGCCACCAGATGGGGATGTCTCCGAGTCGCCACTGGAACCACTGTAGGCTTCACGACAAATCCTGTTTTAAAATCTGCTCTGTTATTTGTTCAAAAACTGGGGAAAATGAGTCAACTGAGAGGTCAGATGTACACAGAGAGAAAATCCAGAGGCCAGGCACAGAGCACAAAAGGTCAGAGAACTTCTAGTGGTCAATAAACAAGGCAGCCTGGCCTACCCCGGCCAGGCTCTCCTGCCCTGCCGCTCTGTTCAACCTGATGCAGAGGGTCGTGACACAGCCATTGTGCTGTTGCTAAAGAGGCCTAGTGCTTTGGGCCCCGTGTCCCTGTGCTGGGATTAAGGGTCAAGCTGCTTGCAGCGCTCCCAATCAGTTATGGTGGATGGTGGGGGGTTTCAAACAGCTTGCTGGAACTTCAAAGGGAGCTTGCACTGTGAGCTCTTTGACTCACGTTGCAAGGAAAAAATTTAAAATCCGTGCAGAACAGGGCAAAGTAGGCCGGCAGAGACTGTCTGAACCTGTGTATCCTGGGAGGCGTGGAGGTTATGGCTGAGGGAGGGCTCGTGCCAAGCCGAGGTGGCCAAGCCGAGCTGGCGGCAAGCAGCCAAGCCAGAGGCCGGCAGCTGAGCCGGTGGGTGGGTGGGGGTGTGAGGTGGTTCTTAAACCAAACGCTAGGCGCCAAATAATGGCGAATCAATCCCACACCAGTTATGTTCTAAAGGGGTATTTATTTTGGGGGGTAAACTTACACACACATAAACCATCAGGAAAGGAGCCTAGTCGCTGGAGCAGGAGCCGGAACCAAGAGGCCGAACCGAGGCTTGCTGCTCTTCTTTTAAAGAGAAATATACCAGGCCCCAGTGGGCTGATATTTCAGCGGCTATTGGCTGACGGAGTGGAAGGCGCTCCCGCAGCACTGTGGGCTCGTGCTTCAGCGACTATTGGCTGAAGCAGCAATTCTGGAGCATTGTCAGTTTTAATTTGTAAAGGCATTCCTAATAGAGTCATTACTTTTAATAAAAGCGTAGTTATAGAATCAGTCTTCAGAGTTTAAAGCAGTTGCCCACTGAAGTCCTGAATATGTATCTATGCTATGGTGCACATACTTTAGCTGTTCTATCTACTAAAACTGCCCTGACTTTAATATCTGTTATTAATGGCTGTCTTCAGAGAAGTTCTGTTTAATTGTACTGCAGATGAATTTCTCTGCTGACCTGCAATGGCCAAATTGAATTGATGTCAGAGCCTGCAAGAAGGTCCCCTAGGGCATTTCCCAACAAGGGGTTACCTTGTTTGTCCCTAGTTGATCTGCATTCATTAGTTCAATGCTGGCCTTTGCCACACCTTCTGCATACTCAAGAAGGCTGGGGGTTTCTGTTTGGATTATCTGTAGAAAAAACATTGTTCCTAGGAACAGCTTGCCTACAATCCCTTTTCAAACGAATCTCCTTGCTTAATACAAAACATCTGACATTTTGACTTTTCTTAAAAGTTTTATAAATTTCTTCTCCTATTGGAGTAGCATAAGGATGAGATCCAATATCAGCCATGTTGCTAATCTATTCCTCTAGGCGTGCTGATCTTGCCTTTAAAGGCTTAATCACCCCTTTGCATTCCAAATCAGCATTTTCAAAAGCCAAAGATACTATTAATATTCGTCTGACTTCTGGATCTGATAACTTTTCTACTTACAGCTGAAGCCAATCTTCGAAAAAAAAAAAATCAGTGAAGGCTTCTCCTGAGCCCTGTAAAATGTCAGTAAGCAGTTCAGACCTTTTCCTGTTTCCTTACCTTGTCCCAAGCACTTAAAGCTGCTCTACCACACAGTGTCAAGGTGGTATCGTCGCAGTCAACCTGCATTTGTTCCTCAGCATATGGACCTGCACCTAGCAACTGATCTTGGGAAACAGTGGTACCTCCAGCCCTAGTTCTCACTCCTATATCCCTAACCTCCTCCTTCCCCCATGCTTGCCATTGTAACTGCGGACCAGCTTCTAATACCAGAGGACAGGAGTTACATTCTCTGCACCCACAGGAGAGCTCACAGCCACCCTTAACTCCAGTTCCAGGGATCTGGTTCCCTCTTCTGGCCTCTCCAGGCACTAGGTATAACACCCACATAGGTAAAATTAAAAATGATTTTCTTTTTTAAGAACTCCCTTTGTTTTTGTTTTCAAAGAGGAAGAGACCTCATGTTAAGCCTGTCTCTAGCCTGGACTGCGGGGAATCTTTTCCCAGGTTAAGAAAGCTACTGGTATAACCGCGTTCAAATCTTCAGTTTGAGATGCGAAAGTATGTTTGAATATTTGAGCGTGACTGACAGGCAAGTAGGCTTAGAGGAAGGAACTGTGGCAGCGAAGCAGACAGAGTCCGGAGACCCCTCCCCGCTGGCCGCTCTCCAGCCTCAGTAACTGGCTGATGAGATACTGAGTGATGTCCTCTATCTGGCACCAGCTGAAGAGCCTAGCAGGGGCTGTCTGCCTTCAGGGAGAGGTCTCCAGCATCCTGAAGGCGGCTGCCTGAGCCTGCAGCTTACTCTGTGAGCTGACTGCTGTGTAGCTTCTGGGCCCCTGTTTGCTCTCCTTAACTGTGCCAGGGCCTTTCCCACGCAAGGAAAATTCCAGTAAAGGCACCTCCGACTGACAAGCACCTCAGCCATGCTACTTGGCCACCTCCCGGCACCCAGTCCGCCAACACATAAAAAGAGCGCTGTTCTGCCAGCGCCTCTTTGCTAGCCCAGTTCAGCGCAGCAGCTCCTGCGGCTGTCCCTCCCAGACACCATCAGCCCCAATTCCAAAACTGTCATGCAGAGACCTGGCGCAGATACTCCCCCTGGCCCAGTGCGTGGTAAGGGGCGAGAAACTGGAGACCCGCCAAGATCCTGAACCAAGGGAGGTGACTTTTCCTCAGAACCACCCATCACTTTTCCTCACACCTGTGCAGCAGGAGGCTAAGGCCTGGGTCTGAATCCCTGCCAACCCTGATCTAAAGATCACAGCCCTGAGACCTGTGCCCCGGAAAGAATGCAAGGGTACAGAATCCTGAGCTGGCAGGGGGAATAGCCAGGCACACATGAGCAGAATGCAGTCAAGAAACACAGAAAGACAAACATCCGAGACCAGAGAAACCCACTTGACGTATACGACAGGAAACAGTCAGTCAAGACCTTTTAATACAGTTCCTCTGTTGTGATGATCCTAACTTTAAAATTATTTTTGTTACTTAATAATCGTAGCTTTGCTACTATTACGATTCGTAAGTAAGGTAAATATTTGATATGCAAATTATTTAAATGCAACCCGCAGGTTGAGAATCATTCTCTAGAAACTCAAGGTTTAGGTGCAAAGCAGAAACGAATTACGTTGGCCCTCCTGGGTAAGAAACGGCTGTGCCAGACAAAATCTTAGCCAGTGTCCCAGTAAGAGGGGATTAAAGATGCTAAGAGGGTCTGGTACATGACCCAGCCTGCCGACCCTCACTCCAGCTAGGTCTGTGGCTCAGGCCTCTAGTCCCCAAACACCTGGTCTGCCTCTGGCTGATGTGAGCCCTGATTCCCAGCCACACGTTCCCATGACTACCCTCCCTGCTTTAGTCTGAATTGGACCCCATAGAGGCTTTGTTCTCTACGTTTCATCAAACCCATGCCCTGCTGGAAGCATCCCATATCTAGAAAGGTCTTTTTATCTAACTGTAATCCTCTCTATATCTGCTTGCTTATTCCTAACCTGGTGGTGTTACTGCCCCTTTCTGCCCTGGGACCCCAATGCTCCAAGGTGCGTTGTCACCATGGCACAGGGGGTTCAGGTCTCTACAGGAAGACAAGTTGTTGTTGTGTGACAAGACTTTTCCTGGGGAGACGCAACACAAGTCAAGCCTACTCACCCCAGAGAGGGAGCCCACAACAGACCAAAGTAAGAATACCATCAAAGTTCAACTTGGTGAGCCAATGAGTTTTATTGGGGTTACTAACACAAGAAGGGGTGAGGGCTACTTACAGGGGCGGAAATGACTCACGGACAGCTGCATTACCACAATCTGAGCTGCAAAGAAGAGTATGTATCTAGACCAGCTGCCTGGAAGAAACAGAAACCAGCTGAGCTGCCCGGACTCAGTTTAGAACAACCGAGTCACTTAGAAGAGATACTTCCTACCTGTTGAGCTGCGGGCAGGCTGTGCAGTGTGCCAGGGTTCCCAGCGTTTGCGGGCGGTCACTTATGCTGGGGTAGGCTTTGGTGAGTTTGTATTGCAGGTCTGGAATTGTAATGTGAGGACTAGTTCTTTCTCCCCAGGGGAACCAGCCCAGGCCTTTCCCTTAAAGGGGAAGGAGCGCCTCCTGCTGGAGAAGAGGAGCTCAGGCCTAAAGGGAGTTTTCGTCATGTCTTGACAGTTTTAACGACCAGATTTTTAGCTGTCCCCACAAAGGCGTACCACACCCTTCTCAATTTGCATCTCCAAAGCAGGTGGCATCCAGTTCTGTCAAGTTAAGAGACCAACCTCCCCCCACCCACAGGTGTGTGGCTGTGTGAGTCACTACAGTCTGTTTCTATGAAGAATTTGACTACTCCATGTCAGATCATATCATATGTGTTCGTTCTATATTGAATTTTTTAAAGAGAGTTGGGAACTAAGGGCCTTTACCAGAGGAAAACATAAGAAAAAGCAGGATCTTCTAAAAGATTTATTAATCAGAGATGGCTAGAGAAGAGGGGACGTTTGAGGGACTTCCACTCGATATTCGGTAATAGGGCACATGTAGGGCGTCGACTGCTTAGCGTTGGAAACAGAAGAGATCCGGGGCTCAAAGATCTGGGCCAAGATACAGAGTAGGGCGGCTTCCAGGTCTGAGCCGGGGCAGCCTGCATTCCAGAGAGCCGGAAGTCCGAGTGCTGCGCAGGCGGGCGCTAGGACCCAGGGGTGCGGGCGGCGCGGAAGGGGGCGCGGA